TGCAAACTTGAATAAGGTGCTTTTCACCCCCTTGTCCAAATCGCCGATGACAATATTGAACAGCGCGGGCCCGAGGATATTAATCTTTTACTTTCCGCTTGAAATCAGAACCAAAAGTTAGGTTTTGGAAAAATGAGGTTTAAAACTTGCAACCAGTAATATGGATTTTTAATATATTCTTTTCTAAACAGAATGCTGCCCAGCAGTGTTTACAGACTGCATAGAACAGCATGATCCCATTATACCAGTAGTGTCCAACCTGTCAGCCCTGTGGGCTGGATGAATGGTATGGACTTGGTCTGTGGCCCAATCTGATCTGGGGACTCAGCCATGTGTCTGGTTTGGCTCAGTGTAGAGGGCCATGTCATTTTGCCTGTGGGGCTTGGAAATTTGGTGGTGGGGGAGTGGTGGCAGAGTTAACTGCCAGTGTTTCCCCATTCCCAAATGTCTGGACCTAAGGGGAGCTCAGCAGGCTGGATTTGGTCCATGAGGCTGAGCACTCCTGCTTCATATTGTTGAAGTGAAACTTGTGTAGGAACAAATTGTAAATCAGATTGTAATCTTCTGTTTTATTTTTGTTGCCCAAGCTAATTGGAAAGCAAAGAGTAAAACTGCATGGATATGGAAGAAATAAAATTCTCAGAATTTACAGTTCTAATAATTAATTTTTGTATCAGTTTTCCTAAACTTATTTTAAGAGATTGTCAGTTAATTTCAGCTAAATTATTATATCTGTATAGATGCTTTCCACTTGTGAGAAACGAGGACAACTTAGTAGCATTGTATGTTTAAGCCAGAGTCCTCTTTTTAAAATAATTTTGGCTATTCTAGCTGTGACACCACTGACATATGCCTTTTGGTTTTGATATGGAGTTTAAGGTGGTAGTTCTGACTTAAGATCCATGTCCCATTGAACTTTTTATCATCCAGCTGTAAGTTTGGAATCTAAGACACCAGTTGCTCCTTCCCTCCAGCTTTATCTGGCTTAATTTGGTTCGCCATTTTATCCTATTTTCTCAGGATATTCTATCCTCTCTCCACAAAACACAAAAACAAACCCTCATATCGCAGTGACATACTTTTATATCTGAATTTTTTTGGGTGGTTATATATTTTGAGCTGGTTGGGTTTCTATCTTTGTCTTGGCAAAAACAGCTGAACAGATGTAGATTACTGCATTTTTATAAACATGATAGAATACCATCTATCCACTAAAAATCCTTGAGAATTGCATCTCTCTACTGACATGAGCCAGCTTCTGTTCCTACGTGGAAATGGAAATGAAACAATTTTTCTTTGTAGCTTAAATTCAAACCGTGTATATCTACGTGGGTGCATGTGGACATAACATGTTGTAGGTTGTTTCTTGATATTTTGAAAAAGATACTCCAGAGTACAGAATACTGTATTTGAACTAAGGTGAGTAATTAAATTGTATGGATTTTGGACAGTAATATTATTTATTTTACTTTTTAATTCAGAATTTGTAAGTCTAGTATGAATACTTTCTAAAAATATTTTTACTGTTCTCTATCAACTGAGTTTTGAAAAGGAAACTGACTATAACTTTATAAAAATTCTAGAATTTAAAAGGGAGGGATATAAAGAGAGGTACCAAATTAGATGAGATGTTGAGCTCTTGATGTTTTTGTTCTGTTAAAGCTGTGTGATAGCTTGATGTTATGTCAGATGAGTTTCACTAGAGACCTCAAGCACTAAGATGTTCACTTTTCCATTGTGGCGGTGTGGAATGAACCATATGTTTCCTAGGGCTCTTCTAACTTAGAAATGTTCAAATTGGAATCAGACATCTCTGGAACAACAGAAGGAAACAAAAGTTTCCCTTGCAGAATGTCTTGATACGTTAGCTGTTTATAGAACAAAAAGTTGCATGAATGTCTTCTAGACTTCAGCAGTTTTGTTATGTATGTACTTCTTTCTTGGTTTTAACATTAGGGAAAAGATCGGAACGTGCTGTTCCACAGTGAAATATGCTACGTTTTATATGTTTGTTTTGCTGTTTAACTAGGAGAAAGAAACATGCCATTCATAGCAGCGATACAACCTCTTCAGATGAAGAACGCTTTGAAAGGAGAAAATCTAAAAGTATGGCCAGAGCAAGAAACAGGTATCAAAAGTTTCTGAGTCTTTGGGATGGCATGTTTATATTGCCTGGTTAGGAATAATCAGAATTATGGAGTGACTTTCTAGGTAGTGTACTGAATTTTTTTTGACTCTGTTGGAAAAGTTAGCTCTTACCTTTGGGACTCTTGTAAACTTGACTTAAAAAACAGCAGTGCAGAGGGACTTCTTTATATATAAATGTAGTGTATATGTATATAGTGAATCAGTCACTAATAGTGTAGATAACATAATTTAAATGAAATACATTATAAAATTATTTAAACAAAATAAAATAAAGGTCTAAGTAACACTTAAAAATATACCAATTAAAATGGATACTTCAGCTGTATTTTAACACCACGTGCAGTGGCAAGACATTGGTAGTGCTTCATTCCTCTGCATTAACTGTGTTTGGTTAAGGTGTTTTTGACATTTTGGGGCAAAGTTTTGAGAAAAGGTTAGCTCAGGGGTGATCAAGATAGGAATCTAGCTTGGTGAGTCTGGAAATTTGGTGGCGGGGAGCAGTGGCAGTGCTTGTCACTGCTCCTGGATTGTCAGACTAGGCCTCTCTGGGTCTGCTATCTGGTATTTTTTGGTCAGCTGTGTTCTTTCTCTTTACTTGGTCACAGCTCCTTAAAATGTCCCCCTATCCCAATCCCAGTAAAAAAAAATGTGGTTCTAAGCACTCCCCCCTCCCTATTGCAAGGCATGCTGAGCTGGTTGTTCACTCCCACTCTCAGGTATCAGTGCACTTCACAACTGTTACATTTTTTAAATGGTTCACTTGCTCTGTGTGTCCACACCGTTACAGAGCTGGTTTCCAAATAATTACTTTAATGTTGTTCTGACAGTTTCAGCAGCCATTAATCGCTGTGTTACTTGCTTGTAATTCTTGTATTACTGGCTAAATTGATATTATTTGTATGCTTGCTTTCTGTCAAATAGATGTCTTCCTTTGAACTTCAGAGCAGAAGACTTAGCCAGTGGAATCTTACGAGAACGAGTGAAAGTTGGTGCAAGTTTGGCAGATGTAGATCCTATGATTGTTGACAGATCGGTAGGTTCTAGTCAGACTTCTTTGGTAGTCGCACCTTTGAAGTAGAGAATCAGTAAAGTTTAAGTGAATGCAGAATTATTCTTGATTCACTATCCTTACCTTGTACTTTGTTCAGCAATTTTGAGCTACTTTTCATCTTTTTACATCTAGTTTAATACACCATAAGTGTGGGGAGGAGAAGGGGTGAAAGAACTTCTCATTCAAAGTATAGTTTTCCATTGCTGGTTAAATCTACCAGGGCAATTTTTAGAAGTCAGTGAGGTCTTATTTGAATATTTATGATTTATAGCCTTCTATAATTAAACAGATACGCAATTTTTCAATATTAAAAGTTATATTGTGGAAAGTTGCTGCTTTACGTATTTTGTTTTTTTAGGTACGTTTTGATAGTATAGGTGGATTGAGTCATCATATTCACGCCCTAAAGGAAATGGTAGTGTTTCCTCTTCTCTATCCTGAAATCTTTGAAAAATTCAAAATTCAGCCACCAAGGTAGGTGGTTTTATTATTCTTGCTATTTTTAGTTTCATTTTATCCTCAAGAGTACTTAAGAAGAAAATGCATAGAAGACCAGTCCTTTCCCTGAAGAGTAAATAAATTGATGGACAAGCGAGGGAGGCATAACAAACACTGTTTTAATAGGCAAGTTAAAGACAGGGATTGTAGAATTTAGCCCCTTAACTTGTGGGAGGGAGGTACACCTGTCTGTGGAGCGATGATTCTATTTTAACTTTGCTATAGAAGTTAGGGTTGGAGCATCACAAATTTATTTTAGAAGAGTGTTTCAGTCCTAAGGAGGATCATAATGATGTGGAAGAAAGAAGATAAAAGATTATTGAATGTTTGTTAGCAGGGTTGAGGTGACATTGAAAGAGACTGGCTTAGAGAATTAAGCTAGCAAGAGTGTATATGATGTGCAGGGCCTTGATACAAGGACAGATTTGGTGCCCAGGGGAAGAAAAAGTCTGAAATGATTCCTCAGGCATGACAGGGTTGAAGCAATGAGAGAGAAATTAATTTGGCAGTAGGATATGGAGGGAGACACATTTAATAATTTTGTTTGGGGATTTGGTTAAACCAGCACAGATCTCTTGATATGGAAGGATTCTCTTGAGTGGGAGAAGGAGGGGCAGGGGGGAAAGGAGGAAAACTTCTTAATTTAGGTGCCATCCAAAGACTATCTGACATAGGAAAGACTGTTTTAGATTAACTGTATTGATGGAAAAACTGGGTAGGATATACTAGATTGAAATAAACCAAAACACCTAGATAGTGTGACACAGGATTCTGAGCAAGGTGGACCTATGGTCTGACCCAGTAAATGGAAGTTCTTATGTTTTTCTGTAAGGAGAACTTAGTTGACAACACTGTTATTCTTAAAAGATAGGCCAGAATCTACAGCTGTATTCTTCTTATCATGCTAACAATAGTAAAACCTTACTTGCAAAGAAAGAAGAGAACACAAACATAAAGGGCATGTTTACTTCATAGAAAAGCTACAAAAAATCGGATTCACTTGAAAAGAATGTTAAAGCTCTTTGTTAAACCAGACTTAAAATTTTTCATTCTTTCATTGTTGTCTTACATTTCGAAGTATTTGGGTTTATTTAACAGCAACCCTAAAGTCAAATTGAATATCATTTTTTTTAATCGAATCAAACTTTTAAGTAACTTTTGCATTTTGTTTTTAATTCTTAATGGATAAGTATTTTTACTGGACCTTTGTAATTTGGGGATTTGAAAAAGTTATTTTATGAAAGCAGCATTTTAAGAACATACTTCTCTTAAAGCAGACAACCAAAGGATTAACTCAATTTTTTCTAGTGATTTTAATATTTGTTGAAGGGATTTACCAAAGGTAAAACCACCCCTAGTATGCTCCTGTCCCTTCCTAAAGCAAAGGTATAGAATTTGAAAGCATGACATAAGCTGGATTTGTCCTGTTGTGAAAAGCATATTTGCATGGGTGGATACAAAAATAACACAAATTTGAAGCTAGCACAAAAATTACAGCAGTGTGTAAGACTCAGCTGAACAGGATTGTTTCATTTCTTCTTAGTTTAGCTAGATCCTGTAAAATCTTTGAGATCTCTTTATTATAAAATTTCTCGTGGAGTCTTCCAATATATATAAAATAAGTTTGACTGTAATGTTAATCCATTTATCTTCAGGGGCTGTTTGTTCTATGGTCCTCCTGGAACAGGTAAAACATTGGTAGCTAGAGCTCTAGCTAATGAATGCAGCCAAGGAGACAAAAAGGTGGCTTTCTTTATGAGGAAAGGAGCTGACTGTCTGAGCAAGTGGGTTGGAGAATCTGAACGTCAGCTTCGTCTCCTTTTTGATCAGGTTAGAAGAAAATGTTCACCTACTTCTCATACAACTTGTTTATAAAATGTTTTTCATTGTAGTGCTATTCCTTGTGCCAGAATTATTTGCAGCTAAAAAGAACCTTGCAGAAGTTATGTCGTAGTGGTTGCATGTACACAGGACACTGATTGTGCAGTCATTTAGTACTTTTATAAATAAGTACTAAATGGCTGCACAGTAACCAGAGTTACTGCACAGTAGTGTCACCAAGTGGTTTTTAGGCAACACTGACTGCTCAGTAGCTTATTACTACTGCATGGTAGCGTCACGTCATGCGGCACTACTGCGCAGGTGTAATGAGCTACTGAGTGGTTAGCATCTCGTGTAAACCGTGGCCAGTGAGAGGAAATTGCTAACATTTTAAAGTTAGAAGAAAAAGTAGAGGAAATATTGGTGAAATTATTTTACATTTTATCTAAGAACAAACAGGTTTTATTTTAAAAAAAAATGAGAGAAGGATTTGCTAAAGAACTCTTTGAATCATTGAGGTGGTACTTGGCTAACGCATTGAAATACAGCTGTAAAAAGAGAACAATTTAGGATTATATCTTGGTGTGTGTATACCTCATGTATTTAAGTATGATCACTCTTTTACTCATTTGGGTTGGGAGAATGATGGCAATGAGAGATTCAGGTGAATAGTGAAATCCCATCTCTTTGCACCAATGTAGATTTCAGATGCTAAAATTTCCCTTTAAATCAGAATTCTCAACCAGGGTGATGCTGCTAATATTATGTAACACCCTTAAAAGGACTGCATTACATGTGCAAACACTACCACATGATTCACAAGATCAACTCAAAAATTTAAAATAGGAATCCGTAGTGTCAAAAATATTCTGATCTGTTGTGTTCTTTCTAAGTTCCTTGCAACCAAACTGCTCCATTTTTCTGTAGTTAAGAAATGTGTGAAAGTTGAGTTGACCCTTCTAAGGGGTGCCTGGGGTCTAATGAGGGCTGCCTAGAGTTTAAAAAGGGTGAGAACCACTGAAAAAAATTAAACAAACATAATAGGAAAGAAGTGATGTTTTCTATAAGAGGGCAAAGACTTGTGATTACTTACTGTTTTACAGGAAAGGCTATAAGGTAGGAGAGAGTATAGTCGGTCATGAAAAAATGCTATTGGAAAATAAGAAAGTACATTTTTATTTAACGGCAGGCTGCAAAACAAAAGAAATGTGTATTTTGCTTCTGTATGTAACCTTAAAGAGCTCTTAAAATTCTCTGCTTGTATTTTATATTAGAAATTTCATATCTCATATTAAAACCTTTTGTGCTTGGTAGATGTGTCAATCTAGAGAGAAATGAGGATCCTGGGATATCATAGCGAGGTGAAAGCTGTGGTCTCCCAGGCCCAGATGGTGGAATTAAGTGACCATAGTTCTTATTTTTTATTTCTCTCAGTAGTTAAACTGAGATGCAAAACTCCTAACCCTTCTCTGAAGTGAAGGCATGTTCCTACTCTTCCGAAGTTCACCATAATTCTCTAGCAAAAGAGAAATCTGGATGTTAAAGATGGGATTTTTGAACATGTTCAACATCGGCACAACTCTGCTTTCATATTTAGGCAAATGC